CACAACACTGGCCTCTGTAGTCGCCTCTCTAACCCCTGTGCAAGGGCCAGCACCCGGTGGGCACTTTAGAGTGTTGAGGGAAGGAAGGAAGGAAGGAAGGAAGGAAGGAAGGAAGGAAGCAAGGAAGCAAGGAAGGAAGGAAATTGCCATTGAGCAGTGCTCTTGGGATACCGTGTAGGGAATGGTGCCTGTCTACAGAGGTCCCAGGCAATGCAGTACCACCTCACCCATCACCGGAGGCCTGAGTGACTCCTATGTGCCTGCTGACTCAGGGCCTCTGCCTCCGGTCTGTGATACGGGCACAACCACAGGGATGTGAGAGCCTCCCCTGACTCTCTACTAGCAAGTAGTCACTGTACACCTGTGATGCCCATGCTGGGCACCACGGCAGGATGTGTTGGCCATGGTATGGAGAACACTGAGGAGGTGCCTACTGTGGGTGCCCATGGTGGGACTACCTACAGGAAGTCAGCCACATCTACATCAATGCCTTCAGGAGCATTCCAGGGGCCGTGGGAAGTCCTGAGGCCTGGGAGAAACAGGGACCCAACCAGGCAGGAGTTTGTAGGCACCCTGGGGTGCAGCACATGACACAGCTAGTGGCTGCACCACCAGGACATCCTTTGACCTCCCCTCCCTCCCCCGTTCGCCTGATGTGGTCAAGGGTGCTCACTAGACACCTGCTGGACCTTGTCACTGAGTGGCAGACAGCAGAGCCGTCTCAAAAAAGCAAGACATTGGTGTCGGGTCACGGGGGATGGAACCCCAGGAGTTCCGTCTGAGAGAACAAGCATGCTCTTGGCTGGTCCACAGCCTACGACTTTTCTTTGCCTGGCAGAAACCATCCACCCTGTCCTGCTTCTTGCCACCCAAAGTGCAGCGAAGAAGCTGGTATCACTGACCCATCTGTGGTCTTTCGCCTGCCGTCTGTGATCCTGGGGATTGAGATTTTTCCTTCCTTGACATTCAAGGTATGTTGGGGCCAGATGTCTTTCCTGGGGACCCGCGTGGGCTTTGGTTGCAGCAGAGCTTGGGTGGCTGCAAAGGGATGCTGTGCGTCTGCTGGCAAGAACACAAAGCTGGCCTGGGTGAGAGGGGAAGGGGGCCAGAGGGTGGGCTCCCCGGGGGCCAGAGGGTGCTGCTGCCTGGGCTCACATGTGGGAGCCCCAGGGCCAAAGCAGGTACAGTGTAACTGACATCTGCTATATGTCAGGTCCCGCATGAGCACTTCCAGTCCAGTGTGGCTCAAGGGACACTGCCACCTCCACCACCACATTCAGTCCCCATCTACCTGAGTACGCTGTGAGCATCGCACAGGGCTGGTGTCCATCTTGGCCTTGAGACATCCCTGGTCCCTGTGCAAATGTTGTTTGTACAAATGTCACATTGTGCCTCAGACAGCCCCCGAAGAGGTCCAGGTTTGGGAATGCACTTAGAAAGGGCAGGGAGAGATGAACCAGGCCCCACTGGCTTCCCTCTTTGCCACAAAGGGACGGAGGTCCAGCAAGCATCAGGTGCTTGCCTGTGGGCCAGTAGTGGAGCTGAAACCTCTCCCCACCACATCAGATTCCACACGCCACCCTCTATGTCCTCAGGAGAGGGAGCTGAGCACTCGTGGCCCTAGACACGAGCCATGGATAGAGCCTGCAGCCACAAGATGACGGCATGATCAGGGCACACAAGGACCAGGCTGGGCTGTAAGCCAGAAAGAAGCAAGCAGCAGGGCCAGGTCCCAGCACTAGGGCCGGCAGTGGGGGAGGCATGCTTCCCTGAGCAGCCCTGGAGAGTGCTTGACTCCACTGGTGAGGACAGACCCGCGTGAATGCATCCTCTCTGCTCTTCACCCAGCCTCCCTTAAATGGTCCCTACCTGGTTCACGCATGCTGACTCACAAGAAAACCTACCTGCAGCCACTTCCTGGCTTTCGAATGTTAACCACAAGATCTGTTCGTGTGAATAACTGGCTTAGTGTTCGTGCCAGGAGCACTTCAGCAGCAATGCATCCCAGGCCACCCCGGCCCAGCTCCCACACAGACTCTGAGGAGCTGCTCTGTGGTCCCAGCCTTGGTGCTGGGGCCCAGAGAAGCAGGCTGTGGTCCTGACCGCTACATCCAGCTGGAGCAGAGACCTGGGAAGCTCCCTGCTGTGAGCAGGTGCATGGACCAGCTCCCGGTCTGCTGCTGCTGCTGCTGATGGAGCCTGGAAGAGCAGTCCTTCCTGCTGCTCCTGAGTGGGGCTGCTGTGGCCACAGGCGGTAGTGGAGGGGAAGTGAGCTGCGGCTGGGGCTGCCCCACTCTCTTCCTGAGAGGGCTGGGCAGCAGCCCTGGCAGGAGGGGAATGAGCACAGGATTTCCTGGGTAGCCACACATTGTCCCCAAGCCTGAAGGACCCAAGATTCCATTTGGCTCCCGACCACATGCTTGCTTCTTGTCTCTCTCCTCCGAGGCCTCATGGCAAAGAAGAGAAAAAGTCTCAGTCCCCAGGGACAAGAGGGACAGGAGAGAGGCCACAGAGGGGTGTGTGGTACTAGCTCCTTCAGTTACACTTTGGGTGGCAGGAAGCAGGTGAGGTGGATGGACTCGGCCAGGTAGAGAAGCAGCCGTGAGCCGAGGACCAACCAAGTGTCCTCACCCTCAGAGGCACACAGGGGTCAGACCACTCAGCCTCAAATCTGCTCATCCCATCTCCGCACGCAGATCTGGCTCAGCTGCTTCTTCGGAAGCACCTACTATGTGCCCCAAGCACACGGTGTCCTCATGCCTGACCATTCTGCAATGGGCCAGCCACAGGCCTATCTATCACAGCCTCACTTCTGTGGCTCTCCTTGTACTTAATGCTGCAGCTCTACCTGGCCACTCTGAGTGGCATACACTCCTGTCCACCCTGTTATTATCATACGAGGCAAGCTCCCCAGGCTCTAATCCATAGGGGACCTTGCTTCTAGAACACTCCACCAGGAGGCCCCTGGCAGGTGCCTCCCAGCCCCTACCGTGCTGCCAACCTTGCCATCCTTACACTGGGTGACTCTCGTTTATCTGTGGCTGCAAGCCAGGCGCCGCATCTCATCGGGATCTGCCCCCCTGGGGCTAACCAAGGACCTAGGACCGAGGGAGTAACTGAAAAGGGTTGAGGTGGCCAGCACTGTGGTGCTGCTGGCTGCTCCACTTCTGATCCAGCTCCCTACTAATGTGCCTGGGAAAAGCAGCAGCAGATGGCCCGGGTGCTTTGGCCCCTGCACCCACATGGAAGACATGGATGGGATTTCTGACTTCTGGCTTTAATCCAGGCCATGTTAGCTACTTAGGGGAACAAAGCAGAGAACCAGTCACCCTGTTTATCAAATAAATAATTCTTCTAAAAATACACAGAAAGGGCTAAATCCTTGCCTTGCAAGCCCCAGGATCCCATATAGGCACTGGTTCATGTTTCAACTTCTCCACTTCCTATCCAGCTCCCTGCTTGGGAATGCTGTGGTCTTAAGCAGCTAGTTCAGGGTCAGCAGCTTGAAAGTCACACCTCCCCCACCTACTTAGTCCTTTCTGCCCACCTGTGATGCTCACCTATCACCTGGAACTTTAGAGGGGGTAACCATTCCTCCCATAAGCTCCCATAAAGGCCCGTGATAGGGAGTGGCTCTCTCCCGGCCTTGTGCTTCCATTGCTCTGGCACTCCGACTCTTGGCCCCCCCAGTACCTGCTTGTTCTCTGGCTTCCCGGAGACAGACTCCAAGGACAGGGAGCCCCTGAGCAAGGTCCTTGCATGTCTGTATCCATCACTTTCTGTTCACTGCTTGGGTGACTCGGTGAAGATGCAATGCTAAGATGCTTTATATTTCTAAATTGTGTATGTTCAAGAGTTCCGGGAGAGGTGAGCAGTAATAGAATGCGGACAGAGAAGCCAGGTAAAGGTGAATGTTTAAGGCTTTGAATGTGTGTCCAGGATGTTTGCTGCACATCTCTTGGGATAACTTCTATTGCTGGAGAAGCTGGGGCACAGGTCTGCCATTTAACAGATGGTTTCGCAGTAATAACCGTTTGTTCCTCTCAAGGTTTCGATTCAGACTGGATTGCCACAGTGGCTTCATTTACTAATTTCTAGTGGGCACTGCTATTGCCAAGACTCCTTGATAGGTCCTAGATTTGTCTGCCGTGATCTCTCTCACACCCCACAACAGGAAACAGTGGAGGACGGCCCAAAGCCTTGGGACCCTGCACAAACGTGGGAGACCTGGAGGAAACACCTGGCTCCTGGCTTCAGCTCGGCTCAGCTCCAGCCGTTGCAACCACTTGAGGAGTAAACCAGTAGATGGAAGGTCTTTCTGTCTCTCCTCTCCTTCTTTTTGTAAATCTGATCTGTTTATCCAATAAAAATAAATAAATCTTTTTTTTCTAAATACAAGAAACGTTCAGAGAATTGACAAAAATGGAAGCAGAGAGCACCAGCACCGTGTAATTGATGTGGACTCAGATCTACTCTCTGGTGCCCATCCTTCAAATGGCTGTTGTCACGCTTACACTTTGGGCGCACACTCAGCTGGGACAAGTTCGTGCATGGGGTGCTTTGTGGAGCAGGTATGTCCCAGTTCCAGCCCAGAACCCTGCTGCTCCAGGCAATCGCCACAGGCCTGGATGAGGTGACGTACATCTAGACAAGCCACACAGAGGCCACTTCCTCTCAGTCACCTTTCTCTGCTTCCCACTCAGGACAGCTCCCACGTTCTTTACAAGATCCTTATCTGCCCTTGCACTCTGGGAAGTTCCCACCCCCCTTGGCCCCTAAGCACCCCTCCAACACCTCTGGCAAGGTAAGAAGCAGGGAGTTTCTCCACTTGACCACTGGCTGTGGGTAACTGCCCCTTCTCCTTGCAACTCCCGCCTCTGCACAGCCTGGGAAACTCCACCTGGGGCTCATATAAGCTCAGCAGGATGGGCCACAGCAGAGCTCTGTTTCTGCAGCTTCACGGAGATTCCTCCACAGCGGCCTGAGCCTGACTCCCTGAGATGAAGCTGACCCCCGTGGCCCTGGCATGCCTGCTGCTGGCCGCAGTATGGCTCCAAGAAGTGGACGGCAGGAGCAGTGAGTGGGGCTGGGGTCCCTCAGTTCTCCCGGGACTGGGCAGGGCTTACCTTGATATTCAGGTTCCATGTCTCCACCTCTTTCCTGGGGAGGACTTGGATGGGCTGGGACCAGAGAGCAAGCGATGAGTCAGGGACAAATGCAGGGGGCTGGGAGGTTCTCCAGGCAAAGGAGGCGCAGCTGGTCCCAGCATCGGGGAGACCTGAGAGTTCGTTCAGCATGAGCTGGGCGGCTGGCCTGGAGGAGGCTCTGGAGTGTGGCTGCAAAGCTAGATGGGCAACAAGCTGAGGCTGAGGCCGGACAGACAGGGGAGGGTGGTTCTGGGTTGGCTAGCCTTAGACTCCTCCTTCTTCCTTGGTGGTGGCAAGGTGAAACCCAGGCTCCAAGACAACTGGGGGAATCCTGACTTCATGACCCACAGAAGAGGGACTGTCAAGCTGGGAGGAGTGGAAGTGAGAGCTGGGGACTGGGCAGAGCTGAGAACTAAGGAGGAGAGGGAAGAGAATTCTCCAGAGCTGGGGAGCTCCAGGGAGCACTCCCCTGGCAGATGAGCCAATCTGCACTCCTCACCCCAAGGTGTGGCGACTGTAGCCCTAGGGCTTGAGTTCCAGGGCAGGACCATTCCTTGGAGGGTGCAGGGAGAAGGGAGATGGAGTTGGAGGAACCTCTGAGAGTCGGGTCTGAATGGCCTGATGGGACTTCTGGGGCAGGGGTCACCCAGCTAGTTGTGGGGGACTTAAAGATGAGTCTAAGTTTGTGCTCTTGGCATGACCCCAGAACTAAAGACTTGTGCACTGTGCTGTGCTTCTCTTCCAGTGCACGTGTCCTCCTCCAACTGCTGCTTTTCCTTCGTGGAGAGAAAGATTCCCCTGAAGATGATCCACTGCTACAGAAAAACCAGCTCCACCTGCCCCTATGGCGCCTTCATGTGAGTGATCACCCCTAAGGACGCGGTGGGCAGGGAATTAGAACAGCAGGCGCTAGGTGGCGCTGTTCCACAAGAATAAGGTTACTAAAAACCACGGGGCCAGACTGGAACTGCGTGCAAACCTGCGGTTGGCCGCTAGGGGGAGCGCCGAGCCCCAAGCAGGTGCAGGGAGGGCGGCAGCTGGAATTCCAAGATGCCAGGTTCTTGGTTCCAGTATCGTGTGCTCAGAGGAAGGAGCTGCTTAAGCTCCTCTACCGGGCACTACTGTGTGGGGGAAGACCAAGGGAAGCATGATTTGGCCTTGCCTCTGGATTTGCCAACCTAGAGTGCTGGGTGAGCTTGGGTGGGTAACTGCCTATCCCCCCCTTATCTCTGCACCCTTTTGCTTTCCTTAATCTTTGAAGTGTAGTTCAAGTGACAGCTACATCATAGGACCGAAAGTCATTAGGAATTTAACAGCAATTGCTCTCACACACTATGGATCCTCTTGGGTCACATATTGGTATTATCATGAAAATTGAGACTCAGAGGAGGGTAGCTATATTCATTTACATTCACCCAGTCAGTAAGGGGCAGAACTGGTCAACAGACAAGATAATAGCCACACACACACACACACACACACACACACACACACACGTGTGTGTACTATGGGACCAGATAGGTTTGCAAACACCCAAAGTAGGAGCAAGAGATCTGTGTCATCCTTGATCTGTGGGGGTCAGCACTGGGAGTCCTAACCTGCAGGAGAAGGTCCAGGAAGTCACCCCTCTCCCCCATTGTGCAAGCCCCAGATCATTCACAGGGAGCAAACTGAGGCCTGAGGACAGGGGTTAGGGCATACGGCAGCAAGGATGCAGACCAGGGTCTGTGCGTGGTGCACAGCCAGTGACCAGTCTCTCTTTTGTTCTCTGCTTACAGATTCAAGCTGAAAGGAGGCAGAGAAAGCTGTGCCTTGAACACGGAGGGTTGGGTCCAGGGTTACCTCAAAAAGATTAAGCCCTGCCTGCCCAAGGGGAAGTGAGCCGGTTGCTTTCCTGACTGGCTGTGGGCACCGTGTGCTCTCCCCCTACCCCCGCCCCAATCCTGTTCCTTTCCTTCTGCACACCTTCATCAGCCGGGTCCCTGAGGATCTGCCTGGGTTCGATAAGCTACAGTGTTGCACTTTATTTAATCCCGGAATCCTGCACTCCTGCTCACTGGTGCCTCTTGGCTCCCAAGGGAACTTCAGGGTGCAAAACGAACTGGCACTGACGGGACAGGGACTTCAGGGTGGGGGAGGAGGAGGGAGACATGCTGGACTTGGAGCCTGGCGACCCAAGAGCAGATAAAGGACTCACTTCTCACTGACTGATTCCGTGTGTGTATGTATCTATAGGTGGGCGGCTGGGGAAGGGAGGGATATTGGCTTTGCTTCAGGCCGAGTACAGATTTTTTGCCTCCAGGTTTCATGGCCGAGGGAGGCACAGGGAGGCGTCACTTGGGGAAGCAGGTCTCTCTCCCTCATTGTCCAGAAGGTGCAGGGGGGTGATGTTACTCCGGGCCCTGGCTGTGAGACCTTCTGCCTGGGAGACGCCGCTGACCCCACCGGATAGATGAGGTGCCAGAGGGTTGGAGAGGAACGCTCGGGGTTATGCCTGGTCTTAGCTCAGGATTCCACTCGCAGCCCCAAATCTGAACTCTTTCAAGTGTCCCAGGTTGCTCCTGAAGAAAACCTCACCATGAGAGATTTCAAACAGGATGTATTTTCTGCAAAAATGTCATCAATCTCACAGGTTCCACTGTAATGTATTTGTTCGCATCTCACATTCACAAGGCACTTTCCTATGAGTGACAGTGTCCCCTGAGTCCACAGCCCTGGGAGGTGGACAGAAACCCCTGCCCAGCTTCCAAGGGAGAGCCAGGGGCTCGCAGACAGCTACCAAACACACTCAAAACCTCACTGTTAGAAAGAGATCCCCATTGCTTGAAATAAAACCCAGACCAGCAAGGATGCCCAGAATTGCAAGCTTTATTGAAGACAGAACACATTTTGCATTATAAAACAGCAAGCTCTGGATTTGAAAGTTACAGGAAAACCACACTGGAGTATGGCTGGGAAGCTGGAGAAGTAACAGGCATTTGTCCCACTTGGGCTGGGTCTGCTGTGGATGGAATTCCAGGCCTCAGCGAGTGGTGTTTTGGACCAGGTGCCGCATGGCATCTTGGACCCACTTTTGTTTGGGGTCAGCACAGATCTTCCTGCCACGTTTGGTCTGAAAGCTATAGACAAAGAGACCCACACGGTCAGAAGGACCCAGGCAGCAGGTGGGGGCGACCTCAGGTTGGGTGAGGGAGGGGTGTGGGAACAAGTGGCCCTGAGGTGGTTGCTGCTCCCGCTGGCTTGGGAAACCAGGAACAGGGGTTAAAGCAAAGCAAGAGCCTGAGCAAGTGCTCACGACCCCAGAGCTGCAGGGCTCAGCTTGGTGGGGGTGGGAGGGGTGAGTAGTCAGGGTTTTTCTACCTACATCACGGCCTCTGTGGGACATGGGCCGGTGACCCTCTCAAAGCTTGTCAGCCGCTTCAGGGGGATCTTCATATGAGCAACACTGAAGCAGCACGTGGCCTGAGGTTGGCTTGTACCTTGGAAAAAAGTCACAGGGAGAAAACCTATGAGGCTGGGGAGGTAACTGAGCGTGGAAGCAGCAGAGGAGAGCAGAGCCTGGTTGAGAGGCTGAGGCAGGGGAGTCCACCACCTGCAGCCCAAGGTCTCAGTCCTGCTTGGCAGAAGCCAGGAGCAGCCTCAGGGAAAGCCCAGGGCAGGCTCTGGGCAAGCTCTGGGCGTGGCCCCACGTGTGCAGAGTTTCAGAGATGACAGGTTTTCTTCCAGCTCCAGGATGGCCTGTGACAGTGAGGCGTGCCCTCCTGTCCCCAACTCCCCACTTCTCATCCAGCTCCTGCCAACGGCCTGGGAAAAGCAGCAGAAGATGATCCAAGTGCTTGGTCCCCTGCCAGCCACACGAGAGGCTTCAGTGAAGCTCCTGGCTCCTGGGTTTGGCCTGGCCCATCCCTGGCTGTGGTGGTCATTTGGGGAGTGAACCAGGGGATCCCTCTGTCCAAGTGCCTCCCTCCTCTTTCTAGCTGATTCCCAAAATACATAAATAAATCACTTTTTTTTTTTTAAAAAAAAAATGAGATCCTTTGGCTTAGCGCTTTCCTAGAAAAAGAAAGAAGCCTGAGGAAGGAGAGGGAGGAAGGGAGGAAGGTTGGGCTCACCTGGCAGAGCCGACGCCTGGGAGCTGAGGGCGGCCACTGCGAGCAGCAGGCACAGGAGCACGGCGGAGGCCTGCATGTTGGAGGGCAGAGCCGAGCTTTAGCCTCGTGCCCTTTCTGGCCTTCCTCCCTGCCTTTTATGGGAAGCAGAGGGAGTGGCAGCTCTCACAAGACCTTTTCTTGGGCGTGGTCATGGTCACGTCTTGATAGAGAGAGACTGCAGTCTGCAGAACTGGATTTCCTACGAGACGCAAGAAGAAAGTTGCACACGCAGCAGCACAGGCTATGTGGTTACCGCTGCCCAGACCACAAACAGCCAAAGAGGATGGCGAGGGCACAGATGGGCTGCCAGGTACTCATCGCAGAATCCTCCCAAGCCTGCCACGCCAGAGCGACAAAGCTAACCCTGGGACGCTGACTCTAGGACAGAGAGCCCTGTGCTCCTGGCTGTAAGCACCACAGGTATTCAGTGCTGAGCAGGTGCACATCATGGCTGTCATGCCCATTTTACAGATGAGGAAACTGAGGTGTGCCGAGATTGTCCCAAATATCACAGGAAGTGAGAAGTGATGCTAGAAGGGAAAGCCAGCCAGCTGGCATTCAATCCCCAGGCTCGTTCTGACTCTGTTTCACCGCCAAAGCCTCTTTTCTTTTTTCCTTATAGTTTTTCAAAGATATTTATTTGAATTATTTGAACAAAGATACCTATTAATTTATTTATTTAAATGTAGAATGACATAGATTGAGGGAGAGATGGAAAGAGAGAGACCATCCATCCACTAGTTAACTTCCTAAATGACCTTGATGACCGAAGCTGAGCTGGGTCAGAACTAAGATTCAGAAATTCCATTCAGATTTTCCACATGGGTACAGGGCTCCAACCTCTTGAGCCATCTTCAACCGCTTTCCCAAGTGTATTAGCAGGAAGCTGAATGGCAAGCAGACCAGCTGGCACTTGAACCAGCACTCTCATGAAACACTGACACACTGTGCCCAGTGCCAGCCTGTGCTGAATTCTTTTCTAAGCAAAGCTGTATGTACAAATCCGTCACGTGAGGTAGAATAAATTGGGTGTTAGGGGGCCTGTGCCACCTACTGCTGCTTAGAGACAAAACTTGAAAACCTCTGGTTTGTCCCAGGGACTTGACTTTCCAGGGGCACCCTGGGATTCTAGAGTGTAAGTGGTGGGACAGACAGACCAAGGGTGGGGGCTCTTTGCTGCCGTCCCTGGCTCCCTCCTGTGAGGAGTCTGGGCATGGGAATGCTGCAGGGGACAGGGAAAGGGGGAGGAGACAGTGGGACTGACCCTGAAGCCTGACAAGTCCTCTGCCCCTCACCACTGCCACCACCACGCTTGGCTTCAAGACCTTCCTGACTTCTGTGCCTGTGAGCATGCTCTGCTTTCTGTATGCAAGTCTCCAAGCCCAGCGACAGCCAAGGAAGCAGAAAGCAAAACTTAGAGAAATAGAAACCAACGCATCCCGGAAAGCCTTGATGACTCCTGGTGCTGATTTTCAGGCAAGCTTGTTATAAAGCTCAAATTCCCAGAGTCTGACTAAGCAGAGGCGCAAAGCCACAGCTGGCGGAGAAGGAGGGTGAGAGGCAGAAAAAGACAGCCCCAACAGGACCTACCACCACCAAGTGCAAGAAAGAACCCTATGCCAGTGTACGCTCATTTAAAGGAAGTGAGCCAATCAAAAAAAAAAAAAAAACCTAACAAGTGCAAGGAGAAATGAGGAAAGCCGCAAATCTTTCTCAGACCATTAAAGATGTAGAGTCATTAAAATTCTTCTCACGAAACACCCTGTGGGCTCAGAGGACTTTGACAGTAAATCTGAGGCTTGCGAGGGGTGCATGGTTCCAAGGTTATGCAATCTCTTCCAGTGAATATCAAGCATGAGTAGCCCATCCAGCCTTCCTGAGAGTCTTACATAACTTTGACACTCACTCCCCAACAAGAGTACAAGCCGTGAAGACTAGTGTATGCTTTCAGGTGCACATTCCATCCCAGCCCATCCTAGAGAGCCAACCTGGGCAGAGGACTGCACAGGGAGACTGCTGGCTTCCTGACTCCATGCACGTTGGAGAACAGTTAGGTGGGGGCAACCTGTGCTCTGCTGTCTCCCCAAGGGCCTCAGCTTTAGGCTCCCCCTCCAGCCCATGGTTTTATACTCTCTCAGCAGCTTTAGATGACTGTGTCTGTCCAGGGGTGGGGAGCCTTCCCACATCCTTACTGGTCAGATCCAGGACCGCATCCTTGGAAGTAGCATAGCTTTTCCTAGACCCTCTAGTAGAGGGACCCCCTCTCTCTTATTTGGACCCTGGCTGAGTAGGTCTGGGTACCTTGAAATGGCCTCCGGGAACACTTATCAAATGGGATTCTAGAATTGGGTTGTGTGCAAAGGGATCACGTTGCGGCCTGTGTTGGCATTGAGTGTGAGAGACAACATTTGCCAAGCCCTTCTGGCACTCCTACTGGGCATGGATGTTGGAGAACCATGGAGCTGGAGTGTACCCTTTACTCACTGCCAGCCCATAGAGAACTGTGCCCCAGAGCTTTTGGGGTTGCTGCTGTCCTAGTTCCAAGACCTCATCCAAGCACTCCTTGACACCTCCAGGGTGGGAGGGTAGCCCCCGGGCTTCCCTGGGAATGTGGTTAGTGTATGGCTGGCAGCTTGTTTGTGGTAGGCCCACTCCATCAGGCCATGTTCCTCAGTCTTGTATTCCATTCATACATCCCAAGGAGGGAAATTCTGGCCTTCAACTTCACCAACTGTGGGCTTCTTTTTCTTGAAATCCAGGCCTCCATCAGCCAGTTCAGTTGATTACACTTGATCTTTTTTTTTTTTTATTGTTATTAACATTGTATCATGTGATACAGTTTTATAGGCACTGGGGATTCCCCCCACCCCTCTCATACCCCTCCCCCCATAGTGGATTCCTCCACCTTGCTGCATAACCACAGTTCAAGTTCAGTTGAGATTCCTTCATTGCAAGCATATACCTAGCATAAAGTCCAGCGTCTTATTGTCCAGATAAGTTCAGTGGCCTCTTGGGGAGACCTTCTCTGGTCTGAAGGTAGAGCTAACAGAGTAAAGTTCCGGATTACACTTGATCTTAACCAAAAGGTCGAGAAGCGATTGTCCTGTTGACTGCTTACTAATGCCACTTCCCGGTACTAGAGTCAGCCCACTAAATCTAAGATTTTATTGCTGGAACTCTAGCTGTTATTGTGCTCAGTCTAACACCCCTAAAATCCACTCAGGTGATGCCTGTGATGGTGGCACTGAATACAGGTGCCGGTTAGAGTTCCTACTGCTCTGTTTCTAATCCAGGCCCCTGTTGATGTGCCTAGGAAGGTAGTGTAAGGTGGTCCGTGTATATATGGACACCTGTACCTACATGGGAGACCTGGATGAAGCCCCTGGCTTCAGGCTGCCCCAGCACCATCCATTGTAGCCATCTGTGAAGCAAACCAACAGATGGAAGAGCTCTCTGTCATGAGTTTCAAAACAATTAATAAATCTCTAGAAAAAAATCCACCCCCACATGTGCATCCCAAACTTTACTGGAAATTGGTTGAAGGACTCCTCAGCCACAGAGCTTGATACGTGTATCAGACTGGAAATTGTGTTTGGCAGCTTGGATTCTGAAGGCAGACACAGGCTCAGGCCCTATAGACGCCCTTACCAGGTGTGTGATTTGGAGTAAACTGTTCACCTCACTGAACTTAGAGGAAATCAGCTACTACTCCCAGCCTTCCTGTGATGCTGGGGGTGTCAATCAGATTGCCCTGGCATAGTGCTGATAACTTGCATTTCTGACAGGTTCACAGATGATCCTGGTACTGCTGGCCTGGGGCTCATTCTGCATGATCAACCGGGTTTGCTCATCTCAAAGGGAGGAATGGAATCTGAAGAGGCAGAAGAAGAGAAACACCCATGTCAGGTCACTTGTCTTACTTCCTTCACACCATCTCAATGCCTGCTCTCCATCCTGGCTTATGGCTATTCATCCACCTCTGGTGCTTTTTCCATATGACTCAGGAGAGGCCAGTTAAGTCCTGGTTCTTGTACATGAAGTCATCTCTGTCTACACAGATTTCATAGGAAACCAAACCCTACTCTGAAATGAATGGTTGAGGGCAGGCTTCACTCTCTTGTTTTTTGAAAGGCTTATTTAGTTTATTTGAAAAAATAGAACTACAAAGAGAAAGAGGACCAAAGGGAAGGACGGCCCAAAGCCTTGGGACCCTGCACTTGCCTTGGAGACCTGGAAGAAGCTCCTGGCTCCTTCTTGGGATTGGTTCAGTTCTGACCATTGTGGCTACATTTGGGGAGTGAACCAGCAGAGAGATCTTTCTGTATCTCCTCCTCTCCATATGTCTGCCCTTTCAATAAAAAATAAACAAATCTTTTTTAAAAAAGGAACCCATGCTAACTTAGAACATTTGGAAAATACTTAAAAAGCATGAAAACATTTTAAAATAACTTGCACACTCCACACTTAAATGAAGCTAAAAGTGATTTTTTAGGTGAAAATATCAGATATTTAATTAGATTGTGGTATTAATCTTAATTTTAGTTACCATTATGTTAAACACATTGTCAAAAGTCATTTTATATCTTTCAATAACAATTTCTTTTTAAATTTATTGTTTTATTTCTTTTTGAAATAACATTTCAACTTACATTATAGTCAAAGGTTTAATGGCTTTACTAAAAAAGAAGTTAAACAAATAAAAGATTACAAGACCTAGTATGGCAGGAAATGCTATAAACAAAGATCAAATAAGATGTTCAACTTTGCCGATATAAATTTTTACAAAGTTAGAAAATCTTTGAAACCATAGCAGCATATAATTTCTGTTAATTTGTCTAGCAAAGATTTAAAGCAAAGATTACCAAACACCACGTTTTCTTAATAATTGAAGAGTGATCTGCTATACTGAAGCACCAGAACTTTTCTAAACCATCCTACACTCTGGGACATTTAATCTACCTCACTGGGATTCTGGAAGTCTCACCTCTGCCTTCATCTACAAGGAAGTAGGCTTGTGGGTCAACAGTATGAATCCTTTCAGGCTGTTGTGCATTTTGGGATTGATTTTAATAT